ATTAACTCATATTGTATTTTTCTAAAAAGATAACATCATTGAAATTGTTATATTAATCTAATAAACATACAAAATTTTTTTTTCATTAAAATAAATGACAAAATAAAATAAAACGTTTATTGTAAGTGATTCTAATTAAATGTTTGTCAATTAAAAACCGAACAAATTTACTAAAAAAAAAAAAAAATCATAATTTAATCTTAAGTATATCATTTTATATAATAAATTAAGCTAGAATTAATATATCTATTTTGTATAACGAACATATAACTAACATACATGACAACATTTATACTATTATATTTTTATACTATTATATCATTATATCACTTGAATACATTTATATACACAATTATTAATTTTAAACATTTGTCTTTATAAGTTCTGTAATAGGTTCACATGAGGACATGTGAAAAAAAAGATCGTGGTGCATATTGTAGTATCACACTTTAATACATGTAATAATTAATACTTATATTTAATAAAATATATCACCAAATCAGTGTTTCCCCGTGGATAAGATGAATAATAAAATAATACCCTTACACAAGATTTAATCTCCCTCTTACGCATTCCATAAAACGCCCACGTAAAAGATTCTATCACATTAACCAATCAAATACAGCAAAAATATTTCAAGAATCTCACCAGAGATCGCTAAACCAGTTTTTGCAGGCTATAAAAAGGCCAATTTCCCCCAAATTCGGGTAGTTCCTTTGCACTTGGCTCTCTTACTGTGGTTGCTCTGAACATCCCTCTAGCGAATACTGGGACGCTTTGCCATTCTATACATCTCTACGGCTCTCTGCAATACTCAACTAAGATACAAAAAGTGAATGTGCGTGAGTTTATGTTTCATTCTAGTAACAATTCTATATGAAATCTACATAATTTTTACCCTCTTTTGTAATTACTGAAAAATATTATACATCTTATTTTCGGTCGAATACTTTTGGTGATATAAATATTCTGACACATATAAAATACTGGTGTTTATTTATTTCTTTTTATTTACATTTATATTCATATATATATAAACATACTCTGAGGTAATTAATTTGATTGAATTGTATTTACTACTTATTGAAGGGCCACAACCTGGCTGGACAGGGTAATAGTACAATAATATCATAATTAGAATTTTAGTTAATCATAAGATTTATTCAAAGTGTATCTCCACTTATCGACCAGCTAGTCTGATCTATGCCACAGTGCCGGCAATCGGAGTGTAGGACACTTATATAATTTACAACGCATAAATTATTAATATTATTTTGTAGTATACATTAGATATTCTAAGGTAATTAATTTGATTGAATTGTATTTACTACTTATTGAAGGGCCACAACCTGGCTGGACAGGGTAATAGTACAATAATATCATAATTAGAATTTTAGTTAACCATAAGATTTATTCATAGTGTCTCTCCACTTATCGACTAGCTAGTCTGATCTCTGCCACGGTGCGGGCAATCGGAGTGTAGGACACTAACATAACTTATCGTGCATAAATCTATAGTACAGTCGCATCTAACCTAGGTCGTCCTACAGGTGATTGAAAAGAAGTAGGCCACATATCATAAGGTTCTTTGCATAAAGACAAAGATATTATTTGAGATCTCGCGTTGGTACATCCAGCTACGAAATACAAATAAATCAGAGTCGAAATATTATACTAAAAACTAATATTTTACTAATATATATTTATAACTAACATCATACTAAACAACTAAAAGTGTCTCTCCACTTATCGACCAGCTAGTCTGATCTATGCCACAGTGCCGGTGATCGGAGTGTAGGACACTAGTATAATCTATTGTGCAAAGAACTGAAATTGAGCTCGCATCTACCCTAGATCACCATTTGGACGACTGAAAAGACGTAGGCCACTTGGAAATAGTTTTGTTGCACAGGACAGTTATGTTGCTTAGAAGTTATTCATTTGCTTTATAAATTATTAAATAATAAATATATTAACGTAAAACATCATATACAAGGTTAAGAACTATACTACATAAATATACAAAAGGTTTTTGCAAAAAGACAGAGTTATAACAAACTTAGATTTCACCTTGGGTAGATTTAATATAGAATTGTACTAGAAAAGTAGTTACACGCGAGTTAGTAATAATATAAACCGTATAAACATAATTGCGTACATTAATGCGTAAACGTATACATCGATAATTGTTACATCAACAACATCATTCATCTCAAGAGAATATCAGGATAGTCAGAGGTAAGTGAAACATTTGTTTATACAATAAGCTTATAATAGATCCTTTACTGAAGAACATTTTAGTAATAAACAATTAGAACAAGATAGGTCATTGAGAGTAAATTAAAATATTTTTATAAAAACACGATATTTGTGAGTCGCCGGAAATTGGTGTGCGCGTTTCTGTGCAGGAGCTAGGTAGTGACCCTTCTTTGTAATTCCATCTTATTCATATATTAGACGTTTTTACACAAGCATACATACCCCGAGATCCCTTTCTATTTCATTTTATTGTAGTCACTGCCGGGTATCTATAGCCACCTTTACCTTCCATTGGTGCCCATCCTTTTTACACTACGCCCGCTACGATTATTATTTCCTTATTAGCCACCTGTGTTACATTTCTTTACATTTCTTCTCTTTCACACCCCGAACCCCAAACACATTTAACAACATTCCTTCGCCACCTTATTATAGCCATTTTTATTTATTACATTCCTTCCCTACCTACACTCACTCGTCTCTCTTGTGTTTCTTTTTATTTATTACAAGACTACCTCTCACCACTCTCGCCTGCCATAGCCATTTCCTTTTTGTTTATTACATTGCCCCGCCAACTAGGTAGATATAAAATATGGTGGCACAGAATTTTCCTCGCCCGTCACCAGCCACTATACGACCATTGATGTCATTCTATGCTGTACGACTTCAAAACACCACTCCTTATTGCCTGATAACTTAAAGCAATTGAAGTTATCAAATTATTCGGTACATTTCAAATATTAACTCAAAAAAAAAAAAATTCACCCGACATTGAAACTTCAATCAAAATTCAACTGATGTTTTCAACATTTATAATTCTTGATATATTTTCGTTAATATCACATTTTATTTTACAATTGTGTTTTTATAAAATAAAACAAGTGTATAATCAGAGGCGCCGGATCTATTTTTTACGTGGAGCAGGGACCCAAAATTTAATGACTATTACAATAAATAAAATATCTAGGCTGTTATTAGGACTTTAAATCATTCTACAGAGTTATACCATGAAATAATTTAATATAACCAAGATTTTAATGAAAAATCTATAGAGTATTAGTAAGAATAGCATAACCCGACATCATCTCCTTCAGTCTACAATTAAAAATAATAATAATTTCTTGACCAGTATAAGGTAAGATTTAGAATATTCTAGACATTAACCCTATGTCTTAGTTCCTAATCTTAATATTAACATGGCCGCCATGAATTGATGACCGATCATCAAAAATGTACCGGAAATGTAATGAATCAAAATAGAAGTTTCGAGAATATTCGATAAACTTCTAGAATAATCTTTACAGTTAAATAATCATCAATTTTAAATACTTTTCTGACCGACAATTATTTTATTACAAATATATCATTCATTTGGAGCGATGTTTACATTAATGTCCATCTTTTTAATTACCATTAGCGTATCTGTGGAGCCGAACAGACGGCAGGATTAAATAGTTTTTCTTAAGAAAAACTAGCCTCCCTTCATCACCTTACCAACTAGTTTAATATAAAAAGGCTAGTAAAATTAGCAGACACACTCGCATACTCTCGCTTTCATTCTCACTTGATTTAGATGCAAATAGACTTCCGTATAGGTTGATAATATGATGTGCGGCTGAGGGAAACACGGAACCATGTTATTATTCTACCTTAAGATTTTTTTAATAATACATCATTTTGTCAATTAATTTTATAAAATGAAGTGAATCGACATAATAATGAATTCAACAGCATCACTCATAACACAATCGGTTTATTCATTTATTTAATTATACCTGCCTGTGTCAGACTCGCATAATATCATAACTTAATTTTGGTTCTGACAAGAAATAATGACGAATATGCAAAAATAATAATTTTAATAAAAATATATCGCGTAGAGGAATAGAGCAAATAGTGACGGAAAATCGTTAAATATAATATTGTAATTCTCAAGATTAAATATTCATAAAATACATATGCTTACACAATGATCTATATTTTAAACTTTCACTTCACTATATGATTGAAAGTACTTTAAAAATATATTTATTAATACATACACAATGTGTATTACACATATATTTACAACATACACTGTAAACGAACTGGCCAAACACGATAAACGTTCGGACGGGTATCAGAGATGTATACCCTTAAATGGTATATGGGATAAATTTATAAACACCACTTTTACAAAAAATAAATAATAAATTTAAGTGATAACTAAATATGTTTTCAGGAAGTACTTTTGTAGCTTTTAATTTCCATTATTTTAATATATTTGCTAATGCTTAAGTATCGATTATTTTCTTTTTAAACGTTTAACAGTGTAGTCATCTAACTAATAGCATTTATATATATCTATGATACTTTTTAAAAAAAATGTAAGTCATACAGTTTCCAAATGTAGTAGATCTAAAAACATTTTTTTTTACTATAGTAAAATTATGTTTAACTATAGCTATACGTTAATTTGCCAAGAAAAATAATTGATTAAACTTCGACCATTTAATTTTTTTTTTATTTTATTATATTATTTATATAATGAATGTTAAATTTAAAATTTATATGATGTCATTATAAAGACAATTGTACTAAAGTCTAACAGTAATAATATTAAATTCGTTAAAATCTTTTTTATTTTTACAATAAATGTTATTTTAGTATAAATAACTAATATTTCCNATTCGTTAAAATCTTTTTTATTTTTACAATAAATGTTATTTTAGTATAAATAACTAATATTTCCACTTTTTTAGTATAAATTTCAAAAAATACGTAAAATTATTCAGATAAAATTTAAACATTTAAATAGTTGGTTCCATAGATTGAAAAATCATTGATATGCATTTAAAAACTACTCTAATTTTTTTTTTAGTATGTTTTTTTACCATTACTAAGGTAAGTATTTATTAATTTATTAATTTATATTTTTAGTCAATATTTTATATAAATGTTTAAAGGGCAAGGGACTTACTGGGACTCAAATAGCGCACGTTAACGAGATGTCGCATTGGTATTTTTGTAGTGATCCTGAAAAATTACAAAAAGTTTTAAATAAATTTGGTATTCATAAGGAATTCTATTATAACAATACAGGTAGTATATAATTCGTAACATTTTTAGTTTCAGTTATTTTTACCATAATTTTTTTCTTATATCCGCCAATAAAAGTACTCTATTTACTTTAAGTGGTTTTTAAATGAAAAAATATATTAAATAAAAATAAAATATATAAAAAAAAAAATTTCAAATACTATAAAAATATACCTTTAACTCTTGTAGTTGCATTTTAGCTTCGATGCGAAGCAGAGAATTTTTTTTTATATTTTTAACTTAATAATGCTCTAACTTTTTCAAAAATGAACATATCAATATAAATTTTTTTTATATAGATGCTTTATGTTTTTAATTATCATTTGGTATATTTTTTTTGTAAATCTGACCCTTAACCTGCCCACGGGGGGGGATTTAAAATGACAACTTTTTCACAACAAATTTACTTTTTCAACATAACTTTTGAAAATGTTCCGGAAGGTCTGACACTTTTATATATTGTTTGTAACAATGAGAACAATAGAAACCCGTTCCCTGACTTACTGAAAACTCTGTATATTCTAATTACTATTAAAATTTATTTATTAACACGCTTTATTTTAATTAAGAGATATAAAGTATTCATTCCGATTACGAGGGATGATTTCCGTATCGTCATTTCTTTGGATGTGGTAGCCGTTTCTCAGACTCCCTCCCCGGAATCGAACCCTGATTTCCCGTTACCCGTAACAACCATGATATTGATAGTAACTACTATCATAACATGAAACTAAAAAGTAAAAAATAAATATAGTTTAAAAAACTAAAAAAACACGCTTTTAAAGCACGTCGAACTAAAAAGATAAAAATAATTTTTAAAATAAGTTTAAAATAATTATGAACAAAAAATACTTGTATTATTGTGATAAAAGCGTGGGTGCTTTGTGTCATATTTGTCGTATATTGAGCGCCCGACGCTTTTATCACAATAATACTAGTATTTTTTGTTCATAATTATTTTAAACTTATTTTAAAAATTATTTTTAACTTTTTAGTTCGACGTGCTTTAAAAGCGTGTTTTTTTAGTTTTTTAAACTATATTTATTTTTTATGATACTGATTTTATTCACTGTCAAATATCATCTATACTTGTTACCACTGCGTCTTGAAATCACTTTACTGGTTTATTTTTAATACTATAATTTAACAAAATTGTAATAATAAATTGTGATAATAAATAAAAGTCTTCAGAATAAAAATTTATTGTTTTTATTAATTTTTGAGAAAAAGCATGTATGAAATTTTGTTTACCTGTATTTAAGGTATAATATTTTATAGATACGAATAATATAAGAGCCATGAAGATTCTGATGTTTTTGGTTGATATTGATAAGATGGGTGATGACCAACAGGTAAAATAACATATTAATTAGTTAATTATTTTTATAAATAAATAAATAAGTTTACATTCATTGTAGGCAGAGAAACTGAACATAGAAGATGTTCAAAAGATCTGCTCTGAATTCTGTAAGATTCGTAATGACGGAAATGGTCTTATTGATAAGGAACAATTCATTGAATTAATTGATACAATTGAATACGATGGTCTTATTGGAAACGTAACTATAAATTTATTTTAAAATATTCGTAATTATTTACATACGAAATACATCGCGCAAGATTTTTGTCTATCTAATGCAAAAATATTACAGCTCAAAGTAATATTGAAAAATTAATTTTTAAACTAATAGAAATGTATTCACAAGAATTATAATAAAAAAATTTAGTGTTTCTTACATTATTTATATAATTTATTTCTCGATTTTTATTAACTCTCACTGCTAAATATTCACGTTAGCTTATATAGATTACCATCTTATTATACTTTACCCTAGTTATGACAAAAAACATTTTAAGATCTCATAAATTAATTTTTGTTTATAATTTATAAGCTGCCATATAATAGTCATGTTCCTATTATGCTTATATAAATTTTTTCTTATTAGTAAACCATACATTAATACAATAGCTTAAATTAAGTATCAAATAAAAGATAAACTATTGGGCTACAAACTCATCGTAAAATCAACCACCCGTTTTGTGGCTGGGGGCCTCTAAGTAAGAATTTTCTTGCATTTTAATTAATATAATATACACAATGCATAACAGTATTACCTCACCAACTACTCATAAATCAGATAAACCTAAACCGATATCGCCGATTACTATAATAAACCGAAATTCAATTTCGCAAACTTCTAAATCGATAAATAACGTGTTTACTTTTTCTGATAATGAAAATGAAATCGACTGGTCAACTATCATCTAAAATAGTAAAGATAAAAGGAAAACAAATTCATCACACGGCACGTCTCCAAAACCAAAACAACCTAACAACAACACAGCAAATATTTTACGACAAATCGGTCGTTTTTCTACTTTAAACTCAGATATCCATGATCACAATGACATGGAAACTGAATAAATAATTAATTCATAGGAATCAAAAATATCAACCCCTCCACCTATTTTTATAAAATCAGATCTCGATTATAAAGGCATTTGAGAAGCTATACAAAAAACTATAGGTTCAAATGCATTTAGTTGTAAAAGTAGCATTAAAGAATTAAGACTGCAAACCAATACACCGGATGATTATAGAAAAATTGTACGCTTGTTTAAAGAAAAAAATGTGGACTTTCACACATATAAAATTCAACAAAATAAACCTTATAGAGTCGTAATTTGCACCATACCACTCCAGTAGATTATATAAAACAAGAACTGGAAATTCATGGTTATAACGTGTTACAAGTAGTAAATGTTTTACAAAGTAGAACCAAAATACTATTACCTCTTTTTTTGTCAATTTAGAAGTAAACCAACAAAATTCCGAAACTTTTAATCAAATTCGATTTGTCAAACTTAAATAAAAGTAGAGGAACCCCATCTTAGTCGCTATTTAATACAATATATAAGATGTCAAGATTTTGGTCACACAAAAAATTTCTGTAACCATTAACCACGGTTGTGTCAAATGTGGAGAAACATATTTGACTCAAAATTGTACAAAAATACCTAATCAACCACCCAAATGTGCATTATGTCAAGAACAACATCCTTCGAGTTACCGACGTTGTACAGTCTATAAAGATCCCACAAAAAAACAGAAATCAACCACTTACACAAATACTCAAGAACCGAAAACACAAACTCCTATTTCAAATATTGTAAATGAGCCTTTAGGTCATATCTTACAACACATTTTTTCAAACACACAGTATCAAATACAAAAAACGTACGCCCAAGTACTGACTAACTACAACACTCAAGACTCAAAAAACCTTACAAACCAACTATCAACAATTATTGATTTAATTTATTTCCATGGTAANTAAAAAAAAAAATAAACACATCATGGTAAAATTAATACCTTCTCAGCTTCGCATCGAAGCTAATATTATTATTTAATGAACAAATTAAATTAAATTAAAAGATTCACCAAAACAAAGTTCACTTTAAAATCTCTAAGTGTCATTTAGTTTTAAAGAAAAATATTCTAAGTCCAAATAAATTAAAAAATAAACTAAGTCCCAGAGAGTAGAATCTTGAGTAGAGTGTCGCAGATTTTGTGTAATTTAAAATAGCCGAAAGAACTGATTTTAATAGGAAATAAATATAGTTTAAAAAACTAAAAAAACACGCTTTTAAATCACATCGAACTAAAAAGTTAAAAATAATTTTTAGTTCGATGTGATTTAANTTATTTTAAAAATTATTTTTAACTTTTTAGTTCGATGTGCTTTAAAAGCGTGTTTTTTTAGTTTTTTAAACTATATTTATTTTTTACTTTTTAGTTTCATGTTATGATAGTAGTTACTATCAATATCATGGTTGTTACGGGTAACGGGAAATCAGGGTTCGATTCCGGGGAGGGAGTCTGAGAAACGGCTACCATGCTACATCCAAGGAAAGCAGCAGGCACGTAAATTACTCACTCCTGGAACGTGGAGGTAGTGACGAAAAATGACGATACGGAAATCATCCCTCGTAATCGGAATGAATACTTTATATCTCTTAATTAGAATAAGCGTTTTGATATATAAATTTTAATAGTAATTAGAATATATATATATATATATATATACAAGTAAAGCAACTTAAGTACGTAAACGCATCATGCACTAGGTATAGCCGTGTTTGTGGGCGGGCGAGTCGGACTAACGTTATACCTGAGGTATAAACGGCGGTAGGAATATATGAATATATATACGTAAGGCGCATTAGACGCGGGCGTTATTGGTCAGTCAAAATAAAAATTTGTGTACATATATATNACATACATACATACATACATACATACATACATACATACATACATACATACAGGTGAAACTAATATAAGCGTGTTAAAAATGGGTTTTTATAGTAGACGAGGGTCGTGTAGCGATCCCTAGTGTGATCTTAGAAACTGTAGATCTTAATTAATAGTTGAATATGATTGGCTGGACCTAATTGAAGACCCACACATGGGCGTGACTTTGAATCTGTACGATAATCAGATTTAATTGACTAATTTATTGATTATTTTAAGTCTTAAATATGGGAACCCTGTTTTGGTGATCTTGTAAATTCACAATATGTGACATACATGTACAAAAGATAACATAATATAATATTTTAATATTATAAGTAATAATATAATATTACATATACAACGCATATCAGTTTGATAAATTTCTGAGGTATTAACTATCCAGGACTAAGTATATCAGTACCCATTTGACTGCCATTAATTTATTTATTTTTCTACATAAGCATATTACAATAAATTATTTTGTGTATTTTAGGCAGAGACACTGAACCCAACCGATGAAAGTAAAAATGAAGCTATACTTCATATTAAGGAAGATATTAATAAAGACTGTAATTATGTAACAAATTATTGTAAAAAATCTATTTTTTCTTTAAAATCATTGTATTTTTTAGATCGTAAAGATTTCAACTTAGCTAGTGTATTGTTCAAGATATTATTACACAGAGCAACATTAAAAAACACAACATTTGGTTATGATAAAAATGATGATTACTGGAAAAATCTATTTCAGGAAATCAATAAATTATTAAACGTCGATTCAACATCCAATCATTTATTGAATTAAATTATAATGATTTCATTAATTTGATTTAAATATAGAATTTTTTTTTTGTCGTGGACTCTGTGCTACTTATTTATGATGGGAAAGGAGGAAAAATTTATGTATTCTTATAATTTTTGTTGTAATTAGAAAAAAATTACAAAATATCAATTTTGTGAAGTATTTAATTTTCTATTCGATAGTATATTATATTAGCCAAATTATACTATTATTGTTTAGTTTAGGAAAAATTAAATCAAACATTTTTTTTAATTTCTTAAATATTTATAAAATAACCATAATTTATTCATGATAACTCATCGCATATTGGTGCACTTAGGCTAAAATGATAAATTATTAAATTTATTAAACGTCCAATTTTTTATTTGTTAGTTCATATTAATATCTGAATTTAGTAGTTAATGATAGATTACTCCTTAATCAAAACACAAAAAAATGTGATAGTTGCTCAAAAATACAGATATTTTTTCTCGATTAAGTTATCACATTAGGTGAAAAATGCATATTATCAATTTTCTGAAGCATGTCATTTTATATTCAAAAGCGTATTTTAATGTCTAATTTTTATTTTGTTGGAGTGAATTTAAAATAAAATTAAAAAGTAGACCTCTGAAACTTTTAAAAATACACAAGATTTTTTTTTTTTGTTTTCTCAACTTCTGTTGTACATATTAATAAATAACAAGGTATCAAATATGCTGATAATATATTTTTTTTTAGTAGTGTATAATAAAAGTCTAATACAAAAATTTATTATGAAGTACGAAAACATTTTTTTTTTTAATTATTAAAACTGTTCGTGTTTTACTTCAGTTATACAAGTTGTGTCAATTTTAAAATTAATTATTCAGTATCAAATTTTCAGAACATATAATTTTATATTTAAATCACATATTACTGTCTTAATTTATTCATTTTTAATCAGATAAAGCTAAAAAAAAAGTCCAAACCTCATACATATAGTTTTTATTCCAATTTATTGAACTTGAAAACATTTTTTTTGTTAACAGATAAGCTATAGTAACGCAAAAAAAATGAATTGTTAATGTAAAATGGTAGTTTTCTATGATTAAAATGATTTAATAAAATTAGTTATTGGTTAGTCTTGTATAAGCATGAGAATAATTACTGTATATTTGTTTAATAAAATTATATAATATAATTTTCTCTCGAGTTATGAGTACGAGGATTTTATGAGAAAATGTAAAATAAAGAAAAACAAAGTGATGTTTTCAAAATTTATTAATATAATAATAATTTGAAATATACATTTTTGTAAATAATTATCACACATAAATTATCAATAACACCCCACTCGTACCAGTAGTTATTAAAGCTTGTGCTGACTGCGAGTCGTGTCAATAAATGCCTCGAGTCATATAGGAACCACAAAGGGTTTCTCTATCTTCACAAGAGAGCTTTATTTGTATTGACCACACAGGTAACCCAATAATATATTGTTCTATGCTGGTTAACTTTGTACAATCGATATCGATTTTAGCTTCGATGCGATTTTACTATGATATGTTTTTTTATTTTTTTAGCAGGTACAGAGCATTGTTATTATCAATGATAGTAAGGTACATTGTTGTGAGTTTATAAATACATTAACTGACAATACAAAAAGTATATCTATTGATAGTCATAAGTGATAATAAACAATCCGTGACTGTGATAACAATATCATAAATAAATATAGTTTAAAAAAACTAAAAAACACGCTTTTAAAGCACATCGAACTAAAAAGTTAAAAATAATTTTTAAAATTAACTTAAAACAATAATGAACGAAAAATACTAGTATTATTGTGAAAAAAAGCGTCGAGCGCTCAATATACAAAAAATATGGCACAAAGCACCCACGCTTTTTTTCACAATAATACTAGTATTTTTCGTTCATTATTGTTTTAAGTTAATTTTAAAAATTATTTTTAACTTTTTAGTTCGATGTGCTTTAAAAGCGTGTTTTTTAGTTTTTTTAAACTATATTTATTTTTCACTTTTTAGTTTCATGTTATGATAGTAGTTAATATCAATATCATGGTTGTAACGGGTAACAGGAAATAAGGGTTCGATTCCGGAGAGGGAAACCACATCCAAAGAAAGCAACAGGCGCGTAACGTGGAGGTAGTGACGAAAAATAACGATACGAGAATCATCCTCCGTAGTCGGAATGAATACACTATGATGTGTTCGAGGTAGTAATTATAATAATAATGACAACAATAATAATAATAAATAAACCAATAGCGTTTTTTATTAGTCACTACAACAATAATCTTAATTATCCAATAATTAAATAAAATTATCTTTAGTTCCTCATGAAAGGTCAGCGTGACAGATCGAAGAAAAAAAAAAACGAATCAATCTATATCCAGCTCCGAGCGACCGGTTCTCACCGCCCGTCGGTCACCGCAAATAGCGCGACCTGTCGGACGTGAAGAGGAAGCGCCGCGATCGCCATCCGGTGGTAACACCGGAAATGAGAAGCGACCGCGACAACTACATATCTCTTAATGAGAATAAAGTGTATTAATATATAAGTTTTAATAGTAATTAGAATATATATATATTTAAAGGGACTTAAGTACGTAAACGTATCATGCATGAGGTATAGCCGTGTTTATGTGGGCGGGCATGGCGGAGGGAACATTATACACGAGGCATATACGGCGGCAGAGGCGTCGGCTGTAGGAATATATAAATGAATATTAACATATACGTATATACGTATAAATATTAATATATATATATATATATTAATATTAGCGGTGGCGGTAGGAATATATAATCTTCGCATAATATCGCGGCACTTTCGCTGGCATCGACGACGCGTTGTCCGGCGTGTTCCTCGGACGTCAACAGGTTAGCAGCGTTGATAGCGACGGCGCGCGAGTGCGGATCGAATCGTAGACGTTGTCACTTTGACAACGGGAAGAAGACTACGGTATCATTTGCGGCGGAATGTCGTCGGGCGTGCGGCGCTTGCTGGACTTTGCACAGCGGCGTATAACGCGAGGTGTTGGTCAGTCAAATACTCATAATAGGGCGACGGCTGATAAAGGTGGCACGAGTCGTGGGGCATTGTGTATAATGAAACGACGCGGGCCGTGTCAATTACAATAAAAATTTGTTATATATATACATAATTGAAGACACGTTCGCGTCTACGGGTTAGAAAATATTGTTGTCTACGAGCGGTGAGCGGGGTGGGGCGAATGCATTACAACAGTATAGTCTCAAGGTCATACGCGACATAATAACACGTGCCGCGTGGAGTTACAAACTTACAAACGACAAACAAACAACAAACATACACGTGAAACTAATATAAGCGTGTTAAAAACCAATTAGCTACCTGTATTTGTAGTCCCTTGTGTATTATACCTATATATTAACTCAAAAATTTGAAACTTTAAATGTTTATACCTAATAAACAAATTAAGTTTTATTAAAAATTCAAATGCCATTTATTATTGAATTAAAAACTCAAACATTTTATTAAATTAAAAATATGTCTTACCATTTAAAAAAATAAAGTTGACACCCTTACCAGGCATGAGGGAATATTTTAAAAAGTATTACATAGTTAAAAATTCAAGAATAATGTGTAACTAAAGATAGTAATAAAAAAAAATTTTAATTATTATTATTCTATTAGTAATTGAGTGGGTTATGATAAAAAAATCATCCTGTATATCAGCACAAATTTATAGTATACATTTTTCAAAAAGTTATAGCATTTTTAAGTTAAAAATTTTTGATAAAGATTTATGAAAGATTAAAGTAAAAAAAATTTAATATATTACCATAACTTTTAGCTCCATTACAAGTTTAAAATTGACATCTAGGCCAGTGAACAAAGGAAAAATTGCGGAAAAAGTCCTAACCAAATTTTGTTTTTTTAAAAGTTAAATTAAAATATGTTTAATGACATACTAATAGTACTCATTGATTGGAATTGAGCTTTTTTTTTACAGCCTCGCAACAGTTCAAAAATATGAGCTTTATTAATTTTCTCAAAAAATATTTCACTTACAAAAAAAAGCTTCGTACAAAAGTTGTTTAAAAGACAATTACAAACAAAAANTATTTAACTTACAAAAAAAAGTTTCGCACAAAAGTTGTTTAAAAGACAATTATAAATAAAAATATAATCTTATATTTTTTCATTTAAACAAATATTTTTCGAGTTACATTACATTTAATATGAGTAATAAAATTTATATTCCATTTTTTTCATTTTACGGTTACTTTTTATCATGTTATACTTACATTAAACACAATGTTATAAATGCATATGTGTGTATGTGTGAGTTTATTTATTTATTATTGATTAGACCGTCCAAGTACACTAAACACATACTGACAGTCAATATATGATTATCGGACATTAATTAATTTATGGATAATAATTTATAATAAAATTAAAATTTATATTAAAATTAAATTTAGTTTTAATGACATTTCAACATAACTTTATTAAAATTTAACATTTCATAACAATTTTGAGCAAAAAAAAAAAATGTTAAGAGGGTCATATTTGAGTTAATCATAAAGTAGGTTGGTGGTACAACTTTAAAAAAATATTTATTCAACAAACGTAAAAGAATCAATAATGACAGATAATAAATTATATGTCTCATAAAATATAGAGTGTTTAGAATCTTTTACAAGTAAGATCAGTCTGTAATAAATAAAAAGAAAAAATAGTAACGAGCGCTTGAGATAAACAAAAAGAAAAGAAAATTTGTAATGAGTAGGAGGACACAGGGCGCGGTGGCTGTAGTAAACAAAGAGAAAGAAGGAAAGAAGGATAGAGTATAATGATGTGAAGGGAAGATGTTAGCTGTATGGTGGTATAGTGTAAAGAGAGAAAGATTGGCGATAGATATTGTCCAGCAAAAATAATAGAATGAAATAGAAAGGGATCTCTCGGGGTATGTATGCCTACAGAAGCATGTTTTATATATATGAGTAAAGGTGAAATACCAACGAAAGGTTACTATTTAGCTACCGCACAAAAATTAATACACGAATTTATATGAGTCGTGAGTAT